ATATATATATATATATATATATATATATATATATATATATATATATGTACATATGTATGTATGTATGTATTTATATACACAGGAATATAGGAATAATTAATATAATTAAATTATATAATAATAAGAAAATCATTATAAAGTAAGTTGAATTTATTATAACAGGCTATTTACGTATATAAGAATTCATATACTTAGGTATGTTCTCCAAAGCTATTGGTGTATTATATTTGTTCTGTTAGGAATATTTCACTAACTCTTTAATTTTTTATTTTTTCACTAACAGCACAAATGTCCAGAGGACGTTCAAAGTACTTCCTGAGGACGTTCTGGGGAAATTTCTATGTCCTCAGGACGCCTCTGGAACGTTCTCAGGACACTTTGTACTTTTTGGGCTATATATTCTTTCCTAATATACATAGAATTGTAATAGATTGTTTTAACACTCTCTAACTCTGAATCAGTGAAAATCACCAACAATCAATGAATAGTCAGATTTATTGAGCATGTTGTTTCTTCGAGTTTCTTCGAGTAATCAATTAACAAAATATATATATATATATATATATATATATATATATATATACAGAATATAGATTAAACTAAATAAAAAAAATCGACCATTTTTCAAATAAATACAGGGTCCGCCACCAAAATCCGGACAAAATGAACAATTTGTTTAAATAAAATTCTACTCATCAAAATGTAAAACTTACAAAAGAACTTTTTGTGTATCACTAGTGGTATCCTTTTAGAGTAAAATTACTCTATATAACCCCCTTTTGCTTTGATGACTGCTTCGATCCTCATCCTGAAGCGCTGGCACGCTCTCTGCAACGCGTCCTTGTCTATATTGGCGAATGCTGCTTCGATAGCGGTTTGGAGAGATGTCACATTGGGATGTCTCGACTTGTTGGTCACTCGTTCAATGACGCTCCACACGTAATAGTCCAACGGATTCAAATCTGGACTGTTCGGAGGCCAAAATTCCTTTGACCAAAACATGTCCATTTTATCCGACAGCCAGTTTTGCACTAAGTGACTCGTGTGCGCTGGCGCGCCGTCTTGCTGGAAGACGTACGGCTTCCCGGCGGCCACGGTTTCTATCCACGGCTTCACTATCTTCGTCAAAACGTGTAAATATACTTCTTTTGTTACGGTTTCTTTTCTTTGAAAGAAATGTGGCGGCATGACGTGACCCTCACTGGAGACAACGCCTAGGACGTGAACAGAGACCGGAAACTTCGTCCTAGCTATTATGGGCACATCTTCGGAGTCGCGGGCGAGCCAACGGTTGTTCCTCCGGTTCACCTTGGCATCGACAGAAAAAATTTTTTCGTCCGAAAAAAACCTGATGCGTCCCGCAGCTTCGTTTTTTAACGAACACAGAAGCAAGTTACAGCGAGCAACTCTGTTCATCTTGGCAGCCTCAGAGAGCATTTGTCGAACTTTTATTACATAGGACTTGAAGCGTAGGTCCTCTTCAGCAATTCGACGCATTGTAGTGTCACTCACACCCAATGTTTTGGCCAATTTCGTTAGAGACAGCCCTGGGTCCTCTGAGATGAGCTCTTGAGCTCTTTCGATAATTGCTGGAGTCCTTACTGACTTTTCTTTCGAATGGCTCTTCCTTGTCGGGTTGGCAGAACCTTTTTCGGACGTCTCCGAAGCCAAATATTTAGCCGCAACGTCATATACGGTCGATCTCGGGTACCCGAAGAACCGAATAATTTTGGTCCGCGAACGCCCAGCGCGAAAGCCTTCAATTATCGCCGCTCTTCGATTATACTCTGCATTCGATCTTATCTGTTCGGACATTTTGAGGTTATGCGCACTTACTACAAACATCTGACTTGCCCGAACATCAACAGTGACCTACCACCGAAGTCAAATGAGGCGGGAAATTCAAATTGAAATATGTCCGGATTTTGATGGCGGACCCTGTATATAAAATTTTGAATTATTATTCAGCGAATATTCGTAAATAATCATGCGCCATACGGTTGATAAATTGTAATAACGACGTTTGTTGCCGTGTATTTGTGTATTAGTCCAAAATAAATTGTGTATTAGTCCAAATAAAAATCTTCTACCATTTTCTAAATAATCATTTAGATTTTTAGTTAAGATTGATGCATAATTGTACACAAATAGTGCACCAATTTTCTTTAATTAATTTAATAAAATTCTACGAATTCTATTATTCTGAACAACAACTTCAAACATTTGATTTATTAATTATGTAAGTACTTCTTTATAAACAAAAATTTTTTACTTTATTCGATATTCTGTCATTTGCTAAATATACTTTCAAGGAATCTCATGAATGAATTCGTGAAAATGCAACATATAATTATCCATGATTAAATACATCTTTACGAAGATCTATTGCGACTTTATCAAAACTTTGTCCTTGAGATTTATTTATAGTCACAGCAAATGCTAATTTTACTGGAAATTGTCTCCTTTTAAAAATAAATGGATAAATATTTTTACAATATAAAGTAATACGATTAAGAAAGACAATTTCACCAACTTTATTATCTGTTAATATTTCACATCGTAATAAATTGTTTTCCAAATATAAAACTAATAATCTAGTACCATTACATAAACCTTCATTAATACTTCCAAGACTAGATTTCCAATAAGTATAATAACAGTATATTTTCTCAAACGCAATTCATGAGGTGGCAAACATATTGGATTTGAAGAATTGAGGTATTCTGGCATAATTATTTTATCCCTTCGTTATCACCAGTAGTATCAATAGAATCTATACTTGCATAAAGTTTCTCTGTTGTTTCACCTAGTAAAATTTACTACTTTATTATTTATTTTGATGAATTTCGTTACTCGTTACTAAATATAATATAACGCCGTTACTTTTTCGTTACTGATACAAAAAAGTAACGGCGTCACCAAATCGTTACCAAAAAAAAAGTAACAAAATAGTAATATCGTTACAAGTAACGCGTTACTTCCCAACCCTGGTATTTATTTGGCAAATGTATTGGTAAACGTACGATAACATGGCTTTTTTTTTGTAAAGGTTTACTTAAAATACGCAAACATGCTTCTACAGGTCCTATATAACGAGCTTCAAGAAAATTTCATCATGAATTATCTGTTTATCATTATTTGTGTTTCCTTCAATGATAATAGATGCAGCATCATGACCTTTGTAAATATATTTATATAAATATTTTACAGATCGTATACTTGATACTATTTCAACATTAATATGACTATTAAATAAAAGTAAAAGCATTGGATATGGGACAACATACCAATTGTCAACTATATACTTTCCTGGTCTTTTATATAACATTCCATTATTCCTTCGACGATATTGTAGATATCCATTTTCATCCATAGTCGTTTCAGAATAAAATGATTTCGGAAAATATTTGGAACATTTACCATTTACCATGCACCAATTTTCACATGAATCATATGTTTCATAACAATATTATGTAAATTTTTATTATTATTTGGGTCAGGAATATTTCAGCAGAGATAAATTTATCAACTATTTCAGAATTTAAAATTTTGTAATTTTGTTTGTGCATATGTGGTAGTCCTCGTTTTTTAAATTCAATTACATAAACATATGCTAAAACTTCACCAAAAAATTGCTGTCTAACTATCACATCAATTAAATAATCTTTTTTTATGTTAAATACACGAGCACATCCCTTATAGAAATATCATACTAAGAATCATTGATAATTACTTATTTTCAGTATTAAAAATACTGAATAATAAGTAATTATCAATGATTCTTAGTATGATATTTCTATAAAGGATATATCTGGTCTATCTGCAGGTTGTTGATGTATGAGTAAATTTTCTTTTATTTCATACCAATTTGGATTACAAGTCATAGCAATAAAAATATCCGGTTTTCCATATTTTCGAACAATAGCCATTGCATCTTGATAATGTTGTATCATATTATGGGATGAACCAATAAATATTGATGGAAGAATAACCAATTTTCTAACGTGGATCATCGTTATTATTAGCAGTTTTATCTAAATAATAAATTAATCCTTGATAAGTTTTAGTTCGCAACTGTTCGTTTAGTTGTTTTTGATTTTGTTTACAAAAATTTATTCTGTCTTTTTCTATTTTTATATAACTGTCTATAATCCATTGTTGAAATAATCACCTTCCCATAATAAAAACATTAAAATTATCACGTATAGCTATTCGATATTTTACATAAGCAGCTCTACTTATTCGTTTATCACTATTTATACGTCTTAAGTCATTATGCCAACCTTGATTACCATATGGGTAATATAATAGATAAATCCACGATTCTACATTAGGATCCATATTATTGACTTGTAATATTTTAGTATTTTTATTATAAATAGTAACATAAGTTTCTGGAATAGTAACATAAGTTTCTGGAATTTCCCCATCTGCTGTAGTAGAAAAAATCACTGCTACTTCACTTACATTTTGTATATTATATCTACCACGATCAATACCTTTTTTTAGATAAAAATCCTAACTGTAATTCAGGTATAATTTTATTTCCAGTTATTTGTTGTTGATGTTGAATTTCGTCATGCATCATTTTATAACTTTGCGCAAAAATATTGTCTCTACGCATTACATTATCTATTAAATATAAAATTCTTTATCAAGATTCAAATTTTCTTTTAAACGGCATTCAGTTGCTTCATTAGAATCTATAATAAAAAGTTGACCATAACTTGGATTTTCATTAGACGCAGCATACAGTGCAGTGTTAATTTGATAATAAATTTGTCCTTGGTAAAACAGTACGGTCCATATCTTTGAGCACTAAAATTTAATAAATTTGCATTAAATAATGCAAATGAAAATGTATTATTATAACCTCGTATACGATCATAAAAATGTTTTGATTTTGGATGATTTCCATTTGAATAATTCAAGAAGTTCATATGGAAGTTGGGGTAAAGGATTCAGTTTTATAGAACCATGACTGCAACAATCATTAAATAAATTACCTTTATTTGCTACTTTTTCTGCATTAAAATGTTTTGCGGCACAATATTCGCACAATATATCCATTGCCCCAATATAATGTTTTTTAATATTTTGAACTTCAACAATATAAAAGGTATTAATATTTGTAAATCCCTTTTTTTTAGTTCGATAATTTTGAATTTGTTCTGTTTTATTTTTATCAAATACAAGAGAAAAAATCGATTTTGATTTTATTATTTTATCATTTATTTCATAAACATTAACATTTGTAAGTGTATTGATATTATTATTAATTAAACTTATAGTTCCAGTAGTTTGTAATGGTGTTTCATGTAAAATAGTTAAATTTTTAGACTTATTATTATTATTTAAATTTACTAATCTGTTTGATGGTCCAAGTATTGGTGATACAATATCATGAGCAACTTGTTGAATATTAATGAGAATTAAGAAGAATCTTATACTAATTTATTTGTATATATTTTAGTAATGTTTGTGTCTTTATTCTTTTTATCTTTTATTAATCGTTTTGCTTTTCGTATTGTCTTGATATTTTGTTTTTTCCTCGTTTGCGACATTGATATTATTCTTCTTCTTCTATAGTTCTTATTATTTTTCTATGTGGCATGGTAAAATTCAAATTAATTAAATTTAATAAATTCAACATTAACAACAATCCAGTGAAAATATTTCAACACAACAATATCAATAAACAGCAATAATGCAACAATTTAAATCAATCCAATTCAATTTATTTAACACTTCAGCTTTGCAATAAATCTAATTTAATTTATCGGTTCAATAAGACATTACTTCAGACAAATTCATATATATCAATACAAATCTAATCATCACATTAATTCAATAAACCATTATATTAATTCAATAAATCAAATATCAATAAAATATCTTCAACTAATCAACCGAGTTCAATCAATTTTAATCAAGAAATTCTTTTCATCAGCAGAGAAATCATCAATCAAGAAATTCATTTAAAGAATTCTAATGTTAATCAGTTTACTCAATTATCAAATATTAATCATCATTAATCAATCAATTTTATTCAAGAAATATGATTCAAATATTACATGTCATCAATTAAACCAATCAATCTAGTTCAATCAATCTCAATATCAAACAACAAATCTAAATTTCTCTTCCTTTCTTCCTCTCCTCCGTTTTATTGTCGTGTTTAACTTTCCTCAACATAAAATATTCTTCTGCAGGTATCATATTTTAATAACTGGCTTAAAACTCGTACCTAGAAACAAATATTTATCTGTTAGTTAAATATCCTTCTTATATGTACATTATTAAATATATCATATTATAAGTTGACCTTTAAGTATAAAAGCAAATTCTGATACATATAATATTTAAATATATATTAAATATATATACCTTTCTCTATTTGTCTTTTTCCCACTTTCTTTGTTACTCTCTCACTCCCTTTTTTCCTGTCGTCTTCACGGCTTGCTTAAAAGATGCTTATTTACAGCCGACAGATTTCGAGAACTATTGAATTTATTTTTGTATATAATATTGTTGTAGAGGAAAGTAGCCAAAAGCGATATAGACCTCCTAAAGCGATATACCTCTATATCTCATATATGAAATGTTGTATTTTATCGAAACTATTATAAACGTAATTTGTTTCATCAATAAAGTCATGAAAAAGTCATACTTGGTATATTTTTTTTTTTATATGCTAAATTAGCAAATATTGAGTTTTAGAAATTCGTAAATTTTATTTCTATAATTTTTATTGGCAAATTACGTAGACTAAACATCGATAATTATCTTTTTGTTCAACATTAAGTTCTTCTAGATGCATTTAGCTTTTGTACAAATATTTTTTTAATATTTTAAACTTTATCATTTTTTTACTGTATAACTTGAAAAGTTTTATGAGAATATGTTT